GCTCCCTCTCGCTGCCATCGCCCCTGACACCCGCAGCGGGCCTTGGGCCAGTGGGAGCGGGTGATCATGCCAGGAAAGCAATGGCCAGGGGAGGGCCTCGCAATCAGCCCCCCACCCGCCCTCGGTGAACTTCGGGCCTCGGTCCCCGGTGGCAGCCACGTCAGCTCAGACCTTCCTCGCCCCACGCCCAGCCTCCCCCCTGGTGCTCTGCTCCGGCCTGCCGCCTGCTCGCCCCTGCCCAGGAAGGAGGCCCTGTTGGGTGGGACCACGGGGCGGGTCCGAGGCTCTGGGTAAACCTAAAGGCGAGCCCAAGGGTGCAAAAGCCCACCTAGGAGGGGGCTGACGACACAGCCCCTACAGCCAGCCGCTCGGGTGTGTCCCTCAGCTCCCGAGTCAAAGATGAGCTAGAAAGAGGCTCCCCACCCGCTCACGCCCCCGCCCTGCCCCAGACTCCGAGGTCACCTGCCTGGACCGCACCCTCTCCTCTCCCTCCACCTCCTGCAGCTCTGCTTCACGCCGGCCAGGCTGGGAGCTTCCGAGAAGGGGTGGCCGCGGAGGGGAAGGCCCAGGTCCCAGCCGGCAGGGACCGCGACACCTCCCGCCACCCTCCGCTCCCCGTCCCGGCCCCGCACTGTGTGCAGCTCGCAGCCAGGACCCCGGTCCTCTGGAGGGCGGTCGCGAGGCCACCAGGGGGCGCCAGAGCTCCTCCCGCGGGCGCTCTGCCCCGGCCAGACCGCCGAGCCCTGGAGGAACCCCCCAGCCGCCTGGGACCCACATCGCAACCCACCTCCCCTCCAGCCCCAGGAGCCCCCGTCCCAGCGCCTCTCAGCACACGCCACAGCAGGGGTGTGGGGGGTGGAGGAAAGGAGGCCCCTGCTCCTGGCCCCAATTCCGTAGCCGACGGTACCGGGAGACCTAAGGCCCCGGGAGAGGAGGCGGCCAGGCAGGGACTGGGCGCAAAATGTAAGGCGCCGGCAGAAGACTCGGTATTAAGATAAATGTGCAATATTTTAAAATCAAAATTAACAAAAAGTAAATGATAAAGATGGATAATTCGAATAAAGGCGGGATCCAATTTCCCTCCTGGCTGGCCTGCCCTTCAGCCCGGCTCGGGCAGTGTCCCTGCGCCCAGCCTGCTGAGCCCACGCGCGGCTGCTTCCTGGCTCCCATCCCCATCCCCAGCCCAGCGGAGTGGCCACCGAGGAGGACGCGGGCCACGCCCAGGGGATGCAACAGGGCATTGATGGGGGAACAGAGTTCAGGGGTTGGAAGCTTCACAAGAAGCCCCGCCCCCTCTCCTGGAATCCCCCCAGTTCCGAGGGAAAGAAAATCAAACCAGAGAGTCTTCCTCTACAGATGACATGAAGCTTGCATAAAAAAGGGTGCCTGTGGTCACCACCTTGCCAGACCCTTGACTGATGAAAATGAGTAATGACTAGATGCAGGGTTGGGCAAATTTTTTGACTCGAGGGCCACGATGGGTTCTTAAACTGGACCAGAGGGCCGGAACAAAAGCATGGATGGAGTGTTTGTGTGAACTAATATAAATTCAAAGTAAGCATCATTACATAAAAGGGTACGGTCTTTTTTTTCAATAGTTTTATTCATTTCAAACGGGCCGGATCCGGCCCGTGGGCCGTAGTTTGCCCACGGCTGGCTAGAGGGTGGGTGAAGTAGAAGGCTAAAGATGAGGAGCCCTGTGGGCCCGGTTGCGGGGTGATTCATCCTCCCCAGCTGGGACCTAGCACCCCAAGCTTGGTTGCTCAGTGAGCCACGGGAAATTCCAGCCCCAACAGAGGCTCCCCACCTGGGCCTTCCTCAGGCCTTCTCAGGTGCAAAGACAACAGTCTCATCCCCCTGACTCCACCCCTGGCTCTTGGTCACAGAGCAGTCCCACACAGGACAGAGGCACAGAGAGGGGACAGCACGCAGAGTCCTAACTGTGCCCAGCCGTGCCACACCCAATCACAAGCCCAGCAAGGAGAGTTTGAAATCAAGAGAGGAGATGGCCCACCCAAAGCCGACAGATAGGCATCACCCATCCACTTGTCCATTGGGTGCCAGCCAGGCTCTGTAAGGGTCACCAGCACTGAGGATTGATGCAGTGCCTCGGCCTGATGGAGTCTCTCTATGCTGCTCCCCCTCCCCCACCACCACCACCACTACCACCACAGTACCGCTGACAACCGTCTGCTCAGGGTGGGCAAAAGTGAGGGAAACCGGACATGACAACCCCAGGGTGTCCCAAGGAGCCTCCTTCTCGAGGGAGATGCTCAAAGGCTCAAACGTATCCATCTCCATCAAACGAGAGAAAGGACGGGTGAGGGGAAGGGCTCGTGAAAACCAGGCATGCCCAGGGCCAGCCCAGCGATGGCGCAAGGAGCAGTGCAGGACCCGGGAGAGACTGCTGTTGGAGGAGGGTGCGCAAGGCAGACCCTGGGCAGGGGGAAGGAGCAGGGCGAGGGCGGGTGGACCTTTGGGTTACAGAAGGTTTCTAGGGGCAAAGAGGAAATGGGAGAAGGGCACCACGGGCAGTGGGGACAGGAGAGCAGAACCTCTCCACTTGCCGCTGGCTGTACGCCCTGAGGCACTGCACTCCCTCGGCCATGTCCATAGGGTGCTGAGAGGATGTTGGGAAATGAAAAGTTGAGGCCAGACTGTGTGAGGACATGGCTAAAAGCCACACACAAACGTGGACACGCCCAACCTGAGCTCCGCCTCCCTCCACATTCCCTCCTTCTAAGGGGGTCCTGGGAAGTGGGTTTTAGGACACCACTTGGGAGCACAGGCTTCAGGGTTCAGACCTGCCTCCTTGCCTCGCCATCTGGGACTTGGAGGCAGAGAACTGAGGCAGGAGTCACGGGGAGTCCCTGCAGATGGAGCAACGGCTCGGTTCACCCAACTCGGAGCAAGAGAGGGCAACCCCTCTCCCCC